TAAAATAATTGATGGGAGAAAATCGCTTTGGGTATGTGGGAGTTTTTCATCTCTCTGACATTCCTGTTCTGATATTCGTTAATCATCGAGCACAAGCATTTTGCGCAGCATTTCTCCAACATTAAACTGACCTCAAGTAGCCTCGTTTTGCTTTCATGGCATGAGGGGTAGCGCCTGCATCTGCTCGACAGTTCAGATATCTGTGTAGGCTGATGGCTTCAGCTGCAGTTAACTGCATGGCTCATCTCGATAACCAGGATGATTCAGCTCTTTTTACATCTCTGATGATTATAAAGTTTGAGGTCGACTCATGTGGAGAGGAGGAGTACGAGGATTATACGAAGTGGCATGGTTAGTGATGGCGTACATCTGGAGGACAACATTCACCCGAATGTGTTGATTGCTCCTGTTGCTGCTAATATCTTCAAAAACCATTTAGGGTGGTATAGTTACTGCTTAGCTAGTTAGTTAGTTAGGCTTACGAGTGAATGACGGACATAGAATATTCTGAACGACCATTTTATTTGTACTACGATACCTCTCTCGGAACTCAATGGTTCACGATCCTTCGCAAAAACGTAAACCGTCAATTTACTTTTCACTACGTCTCCTCAGCGAAGAACACCATTCGGAAACGGCAAATTGGCGATAAGTTTCTTTGCCGGCGCTTCGCCTGGAAGCTATTGTAGCTATCGACCCTCAGCTTCTTGTAAACGGTCCTTTCAACAAAATTCTGTGGGTTTTTCTCGTCAGATACCGTATTTTCTTGACTTTTTTTTCAAAAGTTACTCGCCCTAGTAATAGCTCCCCTCACCCTGTATTTATTTACTCGCTCGCCACTTACAATTACTTGATTAACAAAAACCATAGATGGGACCGCTCTATTCTTTGATTCTGCCAAATTCTATTTTGCAAAATCACTCTTTATCGATGGCGATCATTCGGAGCGTAGTAGGAAAGCCCCTTCGAGGGCACATGCTTCCCACAAAACTCTGAAGAGCCTTTAAGGACATAAAATCTGTACTCTTGCCAGGTGAAGGCCGATTGTCGACTGTTCCTCATTTATAGCCTCTTTGACTTCGGCAATTTCCTAAATTGCTTGAAAATGTTAGTTCACTAGTTCACTTCTAGTTCCCCCCCCCCCCCCTAAAGAATCAAAATCAATCAGAGAATATTGGTAGAGGTGCTCTCTGCTCATGGGTCCACTTGGTCTCAGCCTATTGCATGCGAGGGCGGTAGGCTTTGGGTAAACACCGAACTAAGTGTTGTTTATGAAAACTCGTGCTCATTCGACTACATTCAATTTTTGGGCCCAGTGCCCCCCATGAATGAGCTTTCCAAATATTTCAGGCATAAAGCCGTTCAGGATTTTTGCTGTCGAGTGTTTGAAATTATGCCTTTGCTTTACATATTTTTAAATAAAACGGGCCTTTTTTTGCTCATTCTGTGGGTTGTTTGATGACGTAATCCCTAATTTTGATTTGTACTTCGTGTTTATCTCTTTCACAACGAAATCTCGTTAGTGGTGGCAGCAGGGACAGGCTGTGGATGTTTGAATGAGACCCCACAGATCACTGCTTGCTCATTGCCTTCAAAGGTTTTGTCCACAACCGGATTTTTGACTTATTACCTTTTAACTTCATTATTATTTGATTATACTATTATTTATTATATACTCTGTTTATTCTATTTTATTATATATTAAAAAAAGAATTGATTAAATTCAATAAAATAGAAAATGGTAAAATTTAGCTTATTCCACTTAATACGGGAAACACCCGGAATGACAATGTTTACAAGTTGGCACTGGTTTCTCGGAAACTGTGGGCAAAAGCCTCGGACGGGTTCGAACACTTACCTGTGATCCATGGGCACTGTGCCCTTCTTTTCCCTATCTACAAAGGCCCCGCTTGCTTCCGAGTCCCGTTCGGGGCACGAATTTGGCCCATAACTCGCCAACCTTGTGAGCTAAGCTTCTTGTTATTTGACCTACTTTTCTGCCCATTCAGTCATCAAGCGCAGTACCTTCAACTTGTAATTATCTATTTTTTATTTCTGTTTTTCTCGGTTCTTTTTGATTTTTGTAATGCCCATCAGTGTATTGGTTCATTTTGTGAATACTGGCTTAAAAATCAGTGCTCAAGTCATCACAGACCAGCTTTTTTTTGAAATACATCATTTTATTTCATTTTATCATTTTATTTGTCTACTCTCCTTCTATCCTTGAATATAATCGATTACCTGAGGTGGCCATTATGTCTACAAGCAAACACTGCTTTTTCGCATTCACTCACCCAATCTGGTTTCCCACGTCTGGGTGTTGTATTATATAATAACATTTTCTTGTAAAACCCAAACATTTTCCAGTTATCCTATCACCTTCATTTGTGTTACTTTTAAACCAACGAGAAAAGTTTACTTGTTTCGAAGTCAGCCGTCTTTGACCTATCTTGTAGGAGTCATACTGGTTCTTTCTTAATTCCTATCGATTAATTGTAATTACGAAAAAAAAAAGAAGTGAAGCGTAGTAGAACACCGAAAGGGAAATAAAGAAATGAAAAATTAAGGAAGGACTGTGGATTTGAGCCTCTACTTTCCACCTCCCTCCTTCCTTTGACTTACTGATTTACTGCAGGTAAGCGTGTCGTACCCACAACCGACAACGGGTTCTTTGCCCTGGAGGCTGGAAACACCTCTCGGCTCATACCAGGTCAGCAGGGTGCCTGGAAGAGTGTAAACGGCTTCCTACTGATGAGAGCGACTGTCGCACTTTCACCCACCACAAAGATCCGTGGCAAGAAAAAACTCCTTCCATTGCACTTACCGGCACCTTGGCCACTTTGACCAGGAGCGAACGTCGGTCGACGTCATGGCGATTCGATCAGAAAAAGTAATGCATGGCCTTGAGCAAGAACGTTGATTTACGCTGAATACAACCCGCTTTTCGATGACACCTGCTTAATGTCGTTTTCCCCGTCCATTTTGATAGATACGTTGATGTATGTCTGCACTTGGCTTTGCCTTGGCTACATCCTTTTATGTTCCTTTCTGAACTCTCTGCAGAAGCCAACTTACTAAGGAACCAAGCAGTTTGAGCGCTGTCATGGTATTATGGTACCGTGCTTCGTTCTTCGAAGCGATTCCCATTTTTGTGTGTACTTTTGGAATTTGTGGTACCCACTTTGTTGAAGGTAGCGAACCGATTAGGAAGTTGCTTAATCCTTCAGGAATACTCCAACGAAAGCTTTCGGACTCATTCCGGATCTTGGGCACAACGAAGTACCCCTTGTGATTGTTGAAACAAAATCATCGAAACTATTTTTGGTATCGAGTAGAATTTATAAATCAGCCGTCATCTGTCAAGTTTCATACAAGTGTCATGGAGCCGGTGGGAATTTGTACTCAAGACAGTAAGGGACTTCATGCCCAGTTCGGTACCAATTTTGAGTTATTTTTATTTGAAACCAAAAGTAGTTTATACTTGCAAGCCCTCCACATCGCTCTTTTCTTTAGCTATGCATAGGCCCCTTAGAGACCAATGCGTTTGGTTTTGGATCCATTTCACATTTACTATGATATGTTTTTTGAACTTTGTTCAGTTTATCTTCTGAACTACATAGTATGTGTAGTATACTGACTAGTACATATGTATAGTACTCAGGATGCAAACTCAACCAAGTTCTCATCAACGTATGCGGCTGTTGGCACTTCACTGTCGGCCAAAGTCACACATTTTTGCAAATGACATTTGTGCACTCAAAATGATGTATCGTCCCGTCCGTACCGCCGGAAACCAGCCGTTCTTCGATTTTACAAAGGTCTTTTGTACTTGAACTCATCTTTAGTTGACCTCAATAATAGAGCTGCCTTCTTTCTTAAAATCTTAATGAAAATGCCCGTTCCATGAGTGTACCTCATGACAAAAGTTTAAAAAACTCAGTTTCAACAGTTTTATCTGTTTTCATTCATACTTAATGGCTTAGACCCCCAGTGATCTGCCCTCACCCTTTTTTCACAGATTAGTTGATTACGATCGAATTACAATGTAAACAAGTTGGGAATAATAAATATAAGTAAAAACAAAAAATAAAGAATTCATAAACAAGGAAATAAAGAGATTGAAAAGTAAGGAAATAAAGTAGAAGGCCACTAAATCTTTTTGTCCCATCTTATATATTGAACTAGAAATGGGCGTGTCACACCCGCACGTTATCGGGGCCCTAACCGCAAAACTCGAATAGACTCCCATTTGCAAGCATCTTTTTCATTGGACGCTACAAGCAGAATCTCTCATTGAACATCACAGGTACACTTTCAATATTGTTAATGAGTTTCCTTAATTTTTGGGATTTTCGACTATCTTTCCAGACAGTCCCACAGTATGTGCCTCCCCCCCCCCCCNTCCCCTTAGTGTAATTCACATTCTTCTCGAATCGTAAATTGTGTGATGATTTCCCCCACACTTTATAAATTCAGTAGTGCATCAACTCGAGTGCATAGCGCGTGCCAGAGCTGCCTCTTAGTGGTGCAAGGCGGCGTTGACCAATCAGAGGCCGCCCTTGCACTTGCCAGAACTATAACCCAGGGTCGCTAGAATGCCGTGTGGCATTTTATGCCTCTCGACTCATACGCTCCAGTGAAGACTGCACACGCTCATACAGAATTCTTAGGCTGTTTCCTTTTGGCATTAAGTGAACCATCCTTTCCTGTTAGGATTCAGTATCCGTCCATGTACTGTTTTTCATGATACTTTGTCGTTTTCAAGCCACTCTATCTCTATATTACACGACTTTCCTTCTCCGATCTTTGAAGAAGAATCATTGCTCAATCTCCATAAATACTTGATCGCTACCTATCACATCTTCCGTTATTTTCGTAGACACTACATTTTATTGAATTGATAATGACTATGGCAACTTTCCGATACTTTTTCATCCTTAATACTTTCTGTTAATGACACTGTAACCGATTCACCTTTTAGTGACAGATGTGATACGGAAATGTCACAGAAAACAGAGCTGGATGAAATCGCCCTCGTGCCAACATGTAGGTTCAGGCAAACACACTTTGTTCCTTGCATTTTTACTAATTAATTCTTCAGTACAAGACAGCACACCGTCAGGAGCGACGACATCACGCACAGAAGAGACCGTAGTACACGTAGTACCCAATCGTACTGATTCTAGAAAAACTAAATTAGCAAAAAAGTATCAACGGACACCGATAGCTTTTTATCAGGTCAGTGAACAGGAATCTCTGATTAATTGTAAACGGTCTTCTTTTGACAGTTTTCCTCTTTTGTGCGGTAAGGACGTATTGTCTATGTCAGGTGTGACTGCTATTGGTGAATCATTTGAGTATAACAATCATGGGCCCGCCTAGTAATCATTAAACATTTCGATCTTACTTCAGTTCGGAGCGTCTAGGCAGAATGCAGCGGGAAGTATGTGCCTTCCAGTCTTTTGCTCCCTGAAACTGATCCAATGATTCTTCGCATTAAAAAAAAGCAGGTGCGGTACTCCTTTAGTACTGCCCCCTCTCCCGCTTTCCCCCTTAGCCCCATCAGAAAACGTGAAATCCAGTTGTTTTTTTTTTGATACTTCACGATTTCTTTTGATAACTATTGATATTCAGGCTCTTGTCCTAGGCGCTGTACTTCTGTTGTTGATACTGTTATGTGTTGCTTTTGAGACGTGGAGGTGAGTCGAATATTCATTTTTTCGTTGGTTTTGGTCTTCTAAAGCTACAGTTCGTGTACACAACTGATGAACTTGTTAAGGAGCACAAATCGAGCTGATGATAAACCTATTCCACATGATCGAGAAGATGAGGAGTATCATCTAGCCCTAGTTGAGCTTGTGAATAGTCAACCAGGTGTAACGTGGAAGGTAAGCAGTGGTCTGAACTTTGCTCAAACTTTGCATTAGTCAAATTGGTGACCTATAATCTGGGTGCTACTGATTGATACCACTCAGACCTCATCCAGATCGATCTTAGGCCAATTGAGGAGGGTGGGTGGGATGAAGGGTCAGAAGATTTCTCTTCTTGTTCATTGCCTGCCTGTCTCCCAATTTTTCTACTGTGTAGCCAGTTTTCATTATGTGTAGAAGAAAAAGTGATGAAGCCTTCCGGTATTAATTAATAAGAAGATGCGCCATGCGTTCGATTTCGGTCCAGAATCGTAGTGGTCTATTAAATATGAATGTGACCTTGTATACGGTGGCCAGCCCATGTACAGCTTAATGCTTTTATCCTCCCAAACGATTCTGGTACCATTTACCCGATGCTGGAAGGATGGAAGGCTCGGTTGGACTGAGCGGATAACAATCGAGAATTCGATCCCCGGACCATGCGTGTGTAATAGTAATTGTGGCTGTGTCTTGCCACCCTTCCACCTTCATTTTATTCGCGGCGTTTTCGCTTGCTTGAGTTCTTGGTTGATACTTCATCAGAATGTCACACTTTTTTCGAACACATGAACATTGTTACAGGCTCAGTATAACAGATTTGCTTCACGACCCGAATATGGTCCCAATAGCGGTGATGCGGACTCCGCGAAAATGTTGTTGAAGAAGTTTTTCCATTTAGAAGAAGGTCACCTTCTCCAGGATACCGAAAAACACATAGAATCATTATGGAAGTATGACAGTTTAAATTTCGTAATTATCGTCATTTCATGTGAGTAAAATTTCCAGATTAGAAGTTGATATCCCAAAGACATTCGACGCCAGAACGGCTTGGCCTGAATGCTGGGCAGTCCACCAGATATTCAACCAAGCAGGTTGTGGATCCTGTTGGGTGAGTAATTTAGTTTTAAAGGTTGTTCCTGATAGTAGAGGAGATAAAACTTCGAAACTTTACCTTTGAACAATCTGTTATGTGACTGCTCTAAAAACGATGCTCTAACACCCAACACATGAGGTGCGGTGATTGGAGATGTTTCTTTAACTAGTTGCACGGGAAACTCGTACATATGCATGCTTACGGTACGGAGGGAGGACGATTTAGCAATGATACGGAATCAGAGTAGAATTTCTGGTATTTGGTATATCATGTTCCCACCATTTCGATCAATTAATTTCTTCGAGTTAGTGTAATATAATCCATCAACAAGGAAAACAATAGCGACGGTCACCTATATTTCTTTCCTTCATTATTGATATCTAGCAGGGGTTTGGCATGTAGGAGTGTGAAAAGAATCTCTCCGTCATACAGAGATCTAACTGAGACACTGCCATTGCCCCCTTCATCCCCACCGTGTGTGGTGCAGTAGAAACGAAATTGTCGCGTCACAGCGAGAGGGACGCCGCGCGCGATGGAATGTAGCTGAATGCAGCAGCAGGTAAGAAATACAGGAACAAAAAAAATGACAGTAGAATAATGTCCCAAGTAATAATCGCATATTGGTTGAGCTATATGAAGAACGCTAAAACTGTTATAACGAGGCGAATGATCTGCGAAACCGAGTGCGGCGGATCGATTACACAAAACCGTTCCTACTGTCCGTCTCCCATCCCCACCCCTCTATCCCTTGACAAAATTCATAGTACTCATATTCGAGGTAGTAAGTTTACTACTCGCCCTCTTATTGGTCCTTCATACGCAAGTACCAATGACAGCGTTATACGCATGCCCACTTGTTTACGCTTCAGAACAGTTACTAAAAGATTTTTTTTGCAGTCTGTAGCAGCCGCATCTGTTATGTCGGATCGTGTATGCATAAGCTCAAATGCTACTTCACAAACCCAAATCAGTGCTCTTGATCTGACCTCATGCTGTTTATCGTGTGGAGGGTGAGTACAGAAGTTTCAAAAATTTTTATTTTATCCCAGGGATTGGAAGAAAATTGGGAATCGGATGAAAAAGCTCCGTTGGAATAAAACTTGTGGCCATATAACTACCGCGAGGGAGCGAAGCGTAGATGATTTGTTTAGGATGCTGAAAAGATCGTATTTTTTATTGATAACGAAAGCAAAGTGCACTCCAGAAGGCGTTCGTTTTTAATCAAGCCCATTTGGTCCGTTATTCGTTTAGCGGATGGGAATTAGGCACAACAAGGAAAAAATTAAGCAACCGTATTAGCTTTCCAAAGCCAAATTCGATTAAACTTCAAGGATGGCTGTCGTCACACGTGTAACCCGTCCGCCAGTGATGTGATGGGCGTGTCTGCACACTTGATTGCACAATGGTTGCGCTTGCTTGGAAATGGAATTTCGTCCTTACAAGGCTGTGCAAGATACACGTTAATTGGCAATTTGTCTTGCTGTCTGCCCTCTCTCATTGAAATTGCCATTGCACCACTGTATTATTGATCTTTTTAACTTCCGCGCTCGGTCATCATGAAACCTGGGCATTTCACTTAATGTTCCATAATGCTCTGCTGTACAGATTTCGTATGGTTGTACCACTCTATTGGTCGGCATTTTGAACAAATCGTCGTTTCGAGGTCCTGAAAATAGTTTCAAGGTCCTGATCTGTAACTCACCCGACCAAGCGCCTAGACGAACTAGGCTACTTGCGAAAACTTCTAGAAGTGAACTCAAAAGATCCCGGCGAAGTAACCAACTTTCTGCGGTTCCACCTGAGTTGACGTCCCTCTCGACTACAAGAACAGCAAGGGTCCAATGAGACACCTTTAAAGACCTTCAGCCAAGAATAATGCCGTCAAATCACAAAGTGAGTGGGTGGCAGGGGTTCACTTGCCAACACTCGTTTCGGTTGTTCAGCTTTGGAGAACCTGGTCGGCGCCTCCGAAGTAGTGTGAGTGGGCTTCCAAGCCTTTTTTATGTTAAATCTTTTCAGCACAATAAATACCAGTTTGCTGTCCTTATAATAACTTCATCTTGAAAGATGGCACTTTCGCTGTTTCTATCCAAGACGTTTTGTTTGTGTTCTGGCTCAAGTGAGCTGGCAACCTCCTGCGGTTTCTGACCCTACGCTGTCGACTGGGAAAGGAAACGAAGTGGCAGTTCTGTCTACGATAAGAATAGCAGTGAAGCTTCTGTTTGGCAATCCGCGTCATCGACAACTTCTATGAGTCTTGCTCCATTACCATCTTTTCGTTGCTCCCCCAGGATTATGATCGGCTCTCAAACGGACTGTTTCAATAGTCTTATGTTTGGAAATACTGTCCTTCCTACTATAAAACTTCCGAAATTGCTCCTTTGAGTGATTCTGCTGTCTATCTAGTTGAGTAACTTTTTGTACAGTCATTACTGGAATCACAAAAGGTCTTAAGATGCCCTCCAGTCCCTTACATGCAAAATAGCAGATGGCACAGGTGAACCTTGACCACTGCAAAGATAAAGGGGATCTCACCTTGGTAAATATGCAGTTTGCAAAAAAATCTTCTTTCGCCACTATCAACAACAAATGAAGTGAAATCTACAAATGCTGCAGAAGCTCCTGAATTTTGGCGCTCATCACCGTCCTTCGTTGTACGGAATCTTCGTCTTTTCCATGCAGAAGACGCAACATGCATACATAAAACCTATCGCGGACTAGTTAACGTTTCATATTGTCTCCTGGTAGGTTTAGCTAGAAAACATTGTTAGCCAAATTCGCTCGTGCAATGCATTGTCGGATTTTCGTGCCGACTTTGTGCGATGTAAAAGGAAGCCCGAGATACACCATATTTTCATGACCCCTCGGAAAGAAATCCTTTTGAGCCTGATTATCCGTGTTCATCATAACACTCAAATTTGCTAACTCAGATGCTAGTTCACGTGACTGTTCCCATACCACTTCGCCTTTACAAAGCTCCTGTCGCTGTGTTGCATATATCACGAATAAGTACACGTCCCCCAGTACAGGGTGGGCAGACTTTGCATGGAGTGATATGTTCTTCGAGCTGTACTTCCGATACCACTTCACATTATAACTTTCACTGGAGTGCTGATCTGCGTATTTCGACTTCTCTCGAAAACGCAATGCACTCCAAATGTCGCTTGAGGATGTCAAATAAATCATCCATCTCGTTCTGCGTTGATGATATTATGTAGCAGTCATCGATATATCTACAGTACATAACAGGTATGCGTGCTATAACTGGTCTTTCTGTTCTGCTAATAACACAGATCGTTAGGACCGGTGCTAACCGCTGTCCCATAAAAAGTCCTCGATTTTCGAAGAAGAATTGCCCGCTCCACTTAAAATTATTACAATACAGGCATTCCTTAATCAGAGCCGTGATGTTAACAATGCTAATTCCGAACGCGCATCTTCTGCTTCGTGCTCGTTCAGCATTTCAAAAACCGCTTGGAGAGCTTCGTTGTTTTTCTTATTCGCATAAAGCGCAGTTACATCAAACGACTCCATTACGAAGTTTCTTGAAGCCAACACGAATGCAGGCGATCAAGAAATTCGTTGGTATTAGGCAGATGTGAGTCTACGTATCGGAGGGGTTGACCAACAGTATTACTGAGGACCCAGGACATGCAGTCAATTTGTCCTATACAGTTGATGATTGGTCTTATTTTGTAATCACTCATTTCGACCGAGCCTTCACCTCCGATGGACTAAATACGAGCTTTGAACACTGTATTTCTATGGGACATGAGGGAGTATCTAACATCCATCTTTTAATCTGGTTTTTTCTAATTTTGCTAACTTTCCAATAAACACCCATAATGCATTCAGCCTGTGACTGGGTGAGAAATGCTTTTTGGGTAGAGCAACTGTAGGCAGAAGTGCGACCAAGGTCGAGCTTCGTGACCTTTCGATCCAGGAAACGAGGTAAAACAACGAACTCCTCTTCCTTGTCGCTTATGGAAGACGGATTTTACCGTCTGCTACCCAATTCCGTATCTTTCACAACCCTTTGTGCGTTCGTGAAGATCGAGACCTCTTGCACATATAGTGTAAGTCCTTTGATGATGTCTAGTTGGACCATAGTTATTCTCATAACCGAGTGAGACATCAACGCTGGTGTAACCGCAGAATCTTGGTTTTTCGCTGGGATCTTTTGACGTTAAAGTCTTTGGGAGTTCTTGCCTGGCGCGTCTGAACGCTTGGTCCGGAAAGTTACAGATCAGGACTTCTTCCAAGAACCACTGCGTAGCTCCATTAATTCCTGATCGTCGCCGTTGTGCCGATATATCCGCGAACATGCTTACTCCGTTCGCGTGTTGTGGTCTGTTCCGTGATGCTTTGAAGAGGATACTGCATTCCTTTCGCAGGACATTAGTCAGATTGTAGTTTGGTTAGCAAAAAATGGAAAAATGAGCGCATATGAAATACGTACAGTCGCTAGAACGGTCGTTCGATGGTCTTACACAGTCTGGCCGAAGAATTTTGCAACCTTTCTCGACTCCATACAGAGCAATCTTCAGGGTGTATTAGTAGAATACTATCTGAAAACACCAATAGGTAAATAGATTGAATAGTTGATCGTAGAAGTAGTAGTTGATCCCAAAAGGCCATTCCGATTCAACCGATTGCAGATGTCAAGGTACGCATTGGGCACTATCAGCATTCACCTATTGGAAAGAACATGGTATCGTCTCCGGTAAGTGAATTCACCGTGTATGATTCCTTGTTCTAAGCGATCGGTGAAATTAGCGGTTCCATTCAAGGAGGTTCCTATGGGAGCCATGAGGGATGTCGGCCGTACGTGTTTGAGCCAACATGTGGGAGTCCCTGTGGAGCAGCGCTTTACCGCAAAGATAGGACACCACGATGTGAAAGGCAATGTCAAAGTCTCTATCATCGATCGTATGAGCACGATATCGTTCAAGGTTCATTTTAATTGAATGTCTTGTGCACTATATAGGTAACACATCTTTCAGCCAAACAAGCCTACTGGTTACGAGCCATAAATGGGAGTTCTGAGCTCACACCTGTGGTCAAAGTGACTCTCAATAGACTTACCAATGGTGAGTTTATTTATCCATTTTGCACACAAGGTGCGCCATTAGCAAATGTAATAGGGAAACAATACAGAGCTAGACCACACAAAAATTCAATTCCATTCACAAAAAGAATCAACTGGAACCCATGTGATTGAGGTGCTACCCATTACACATACTAGATGTCATATTTGCATACAATAACATTGAAGTAAAAGGGAACGATGCTTACCGCCGTTATTTGAGGAAAACAAATTGGGTCCGGGAACTTCTCCCCTAACACGGCGTCGCACCCGCCGCACCCGCCGCCTATCGCAGGATTGCGATGAAAGATTGGAGCGCGCAATTTGTGAGGTAGGGAGTCCTTTAATCATTTGAGTTGGCTGGTCGCTCCCTTCAATTTCAATGCGGTATTGATCGTCGTTTATATAAGAGGAGTCATTTTAATTAATCAAGTCTAATAAACATGAAAACTAAAAAGAAACAGAAGAAAAAAAACGATAAAATCCAATGAAAAAGCAAGCCAGTCAAGGAAAAATATCGCGTCCTATCGATTGGCGGGAGGCGGGGTGCGTACGGTAGTTGCAGTGACATTTGCCGCACGCCGCAAGGGAGAATGCCGCGATAGGGGAGAAGTTCCGTTACCCAAACAAATTTCACCGCTGCCTTCACCGCGGCTCATGCGGTTGCGGCGCAGGTGATCGATAAGTGCGCGCTAAGCGACGAATTATTGATCGCGCCGCTTCGCATCCGCTCGTGGCATGGTGTTGTGATTAGACGAACAACCTTAGTAAACGAAATCTGGTGTTATAGGGAGAATCACCGAATTGCTGCAAAGAGAACTGGTAACGTATGGACCGGTACTAGCATGCTTCACACTTCATGAAGATTTCCAACATTACAAGTCAGGTGGGTGGTCCCACTGTTGCCTAGCCAAGTTTGCCCGTGATTATAACGTCTCTTTTTCGTTTTTCCTACAGCCATGTACTTCCACAATTCCAGTAAAGTTAGCGATTACCCTCAATTGGAGAAAATAATTTGTTAGTCGATGTAAATATAACCAACTTCCATCTTATAGGTATTTACAAAACAGAGGAGAATCGATCACTACAACTTTACGGACACTGTGCAAAGCTGATCGGATGGGGAGAAGAGGGCGGAGTCAAGTATTGGCAGTACGCCAACACATGGGGCCGTGACTGGGGAGAGAACGGTAAGTACCCAGTTGGTGTTCGTGAATGGATGGTTTCCACTAAGTAATACTTGTCAACCCTGAAGAAACAAAGGTGTCAGTAACCATACAAACCAAATTTCCATAGCTCATTTGGCTGACCAATTACCAAAATCACAAAAAAAAACAGGAAATGCTAGACATTCCAAAAAGCTCCGAAAAGTGGTTTAAAAAATCGCGCAACGAGTGCGCGGTGCGTGTAGGGTGACGTCATCGCCCTACACGCACTGCGCGAACCATAACCCCGTCGCGTTGACGCCCATGATGCATAGGACCAACACTACAGTAACAATGATTTCGCTCAATGGCATTCTCTTAACGGCCGTATTGTCCTATTAGTCAACAGTTTTACTCGGTGAACAGGGAAGAGCGAAGGGAGCTTACTTACCGTCTCTCCTTCCACACCATTGATTAAGAATGGTGCAGTGAGCGCTTTGTAAAATCCGTTGTGGTTTTTATCCCTGAGCCTAAATGGCTTTGGAGCTGTTCATGTTCACCGGTCGCCATTATCTTGCTCACCGCTGCATACGGGCGCTTATTTGTTTTTTGATGGGTTGTACCACCCACCATTATTGATCGACTATGAGGTGCAGCCTGAACTATGGTCCGCTTTTTCTACCTCCTACATTCACCACATTTCTTATGATCTCCTAATCACAGGCAAAAGTGAAGATCATTTCAGGCTTCTTCCGAATCGATATGAGTGAGGTTCCAGAAGAGGTTGTTGCTGGTACTATGTAAATCTTCTATATGCTTTCACCGTCGTTAAGAAGTGTAGAAGCGGAAATCAGGATTCATTATTGAGAGTATATTGATGAGCCATGACCAGGGCAATCGTCATTATTTCGTCTCACCGCTGATGTTCTTCTTCTATTAATTTGTTGATTTATCAGTGGAGCTGGTATTTATTACCAAATTACTCAGTTATCTAAGGGCGATCCTATTGGAGATCATGGTTGTTTCTAAAATGACTTGTTCCCAGCTTTAGCTCGCCTTTGCTTTCGTCCCAGCAGTTTGGAAAAGCTAAGGTCATTGGCCTGACAATACTAACCCTTTTTATGAGGAGATCTTGTTCCCAGCCATAGCCTGAAACTCATCCCAATTTCTGCTAGGATAAAAATAGCCATCTAATGGATCGCTCTTAGCTGCACATATCTCTGATCATAATGCCTTTATTGATTACTTATTTTTTTATTCAGAATCTGCAGTCTGATTTCCTCTTGTCCCCTGAACACGTTGAGCGGCAAAGGCGGGGACTCTGAATCCAATTCGCGCTCCCTATTGGCTTGTCCATTTAACAAACGGGATGCCAATGGTGAGCGTGCAACGAGATCATTGACCCCGCCTACGCGGTCAGCTTGTTTGCTGCCCTCAAGAACAACTCTGTCATTTGTACATAAATAGATGTGTATATTATGTGAATCATTAAATTATTATCAAGGTAACAAAATAATGTAATTTATCTAAATGCTCTGTGTTCTCACCACAGAATAAAATTCCCATCGAGGTTTCTGATACAGAAGACAATTTTGCTTGCAAACACGTCAGAGCCTGAAGTGGAATGGATACGTAGAACGATCATAGGACGAAAAGTGTGTAGATAGGGCCATGTTAGACCTTTTTAGGCTGTGATTTATGATACAAGAGCGTGTCATCGGTGATTGTGATTGGTCATTCCCTGTGAGCGCCAATCAGAGGCGTTTTTTCAGCACAGCTTATCTATTAGAGATCTTTAATTCTTGCCTAAACAGTGAGCCTGCTCTCATTGGATGACTTGGAAGGAGAGAGGGGACAAAAAAACTAAAATACCTGTTTTTCAACACCATCATAGCCGACATGAGCCACCTCTGGGCAATATTTACCATTAATATCAAATCCCCTTGCTTAGCCCGGCCTCTGCACATTCTGCTTATGATGTTTATGGGAAATTTTCCACTTCGGCCTATCATTGTAACTTAGTAGTATAACTATTTATTCACCCTTTCGCATCACAAAGAAGAGAAAACAAAACTTAATGACATTTGTTGAACACATCAAGTCACCCGAGAATACATATGCTGAAAACAAAAATGTGCGAGAAATATCGATGGAGACAGCCAACTATTACTGTAAAACGTGGTCTTTCAGGAAACGGTATTCCTACAGTAATAGTTAGTTGTTAAGCCGATCGTTAAAGAGAAACAACGAAACTCACGCACGGACACACACACGTCACCGGGCCGAATACATAAAGTGAAATCAAAACAATATAATACTAGTCACTTCACAGCTTGGAATAATAGACGCCTAAATAAAATTAACCAAAAGAAGACATTAAATTTGGGCTTCAATGTATACTAAAAAAGGGAATTCAAATGACAATAAGAAAAGAAGGAAGACGATTATAGCCTAATACTATGAACTTGTGTCAGCGAGGGTGACCTTTTGAAAGCCAGCTCCTTGTGGATCTATACTTGCTGCTCCGTCCTGATCTACATATAACGCTAATCCTTCCTCTGATGCACTTGCTTCACCCCTCGCCGGCCATCGTGTCTCAGCGAGCATCCGGTCTATCACACCGCCCGCATCAATCCTGCAAGACGGTAGATGAAAACTCGAGAAAATCCTCATCAGCCTAATTTCTGCACGACTTCCAACAATGAAAAAAGCCACCGTCGGCTAAAACGTGGGAATATTCCTCTCCCTAATTGAATTGCCGAGAATTTGATTCACATTTACACGCTCAATGAATGAATTCAATCTGGTTGCTAGCTGTGAACGGCATGTAGCAACTTTCATTCATTCCGACAGGTTCAAGCGTTATATAACATCTGTCCCGTACCATCGAATCCTTTGAAGTTACGAAGACATTTCTTCAGAACTGAATGGCTCGATTTGTACTTTTAAAATGCATACATACCCAATCTATTGCATGCTGAACACTTAACGGCACCCATGGGGAGCATTGCTGAACAGCACCGCCACTTTTTTCCGTAAGAGTTCAGAGCTCAGTGGGTGTTTGGGAGACCAAGGCTAATCCTCTACTCTTATAATTAAGCCCTCAGTAGTAACGACCACACTTCAAAGATGCCGCTGTACTCAGCTAGAAGGGACGTCATCATTACAACCCGCCGGTCTTCATTTTCAGCTCAGTTGGCTGTCATTCACATGTGAGCATTGTATCACTTACTTTTACGCAGATTAAATATCATGCGAGCGGAACAAAAGATATTAATTTAAATCCTAAATTGACAGCAACAGTTCAAAAGGTGCGGATGGTGTAGCGCAGCATGCATAGGCTTAGCCAGGCTAGCCCATTTCAGATCCAACCGCTTCTCCTCTGCTAATTAGGCTATCCCCCTCCAGTTGATATCCGACCCACTTAAAGGATAAAGCTCCAACATCTACATTTCAATTGGCAATGGCTCATAATAGCAGCAACAACGGCAAGGTAAGCGTGTATGCTTGTCCTGACTATAACTAAATTCCGACTAAAAATTCCTGCCAACCTTGTGCTTTGAATTCGTGGCGCACTGGATCTATCCTGACTGAGCCTCCGCAAGGCCGACGGCGCATTCCTTCGATTATCTGATGACATCGAGGCACATTCATCGGCTACCGAACATGATCCGGCCATCGAACTGCACTCTAAACGTATTCTTAGAATCACTTCAAACAAAAAGAAGAAAAAAACGCTCAGGCTATGGCTTGTGAAGTGCCCTAACTTTACAGTGAACCGCTTTCAAGGGGGGAAAAACTGACGAGCAAAGCAGAGAATAAGCGAAGCCCTGTCAGAAAAAGTGATTGATGGGTATCAGGCTATGACGATGGGCTATTTGCAGCTTCTGATAAGATATATTTCCACCAAAACAACCATCACAAATCGAAAACGGGCCTTAGCGTAATGTAAGAAAAAAGAATAGTTTGTTTGGAAAGAAAAGTATGCACTTCAGCCACAAAGATGCAAGAAAAATTGAGCCGCGAAGGTGGAGCAGCTAGTAATTCACTACTGAGAAGGAAGGGTTTTATGCCTCTTACAATTAAAGGAAAACTGGGATAGACGTAGGTTTTGCATAAAATTTCAAATTAATATCAGCCAGATAAGTGGCAGTATATGACCAAAGTTACAACATAATGTAAAGTAAATACGTAGAACTTACCGGGTGCATCGTTATTCGTTTGCGCTCGCAACTTCACAAAAGACCCGGCTACGTCTTCATCTTCATCCTCTTCTACATCTGATGCTTTTAGGTATGGATTTAATGAGCTGTCTTCAATTGTATCAGCTCCACCAATGAAAGGCCTATAACATTGCATTTATAAGCTCTTGAACCCCGACAAAAGACGTTTTCAACACATTATTGCTAAAGGTGCTCTATGTACCTATTCATGGAACTCATGGCATTAGCAGCATTGGGAAAATTCTTTAACTCGAATGAATGCTCCCACACAGGTTTTTCGCCTCTAACACGCCAACGCTTCAGAGGTCGAGTTAGCAGTAAAGCAATGAAACCGGTCTTTCCGTTGCAAATAAATCTCGGAAAAACAAACAAAACACCCGCTTAAATCGAGCAAATCGGTAAAGGCGCCTTGTGCAAATGCAAAACAAAACAAAGCTAGCGTTCGCAGGTAAACAAACCTACGAAACTAAACGAAATAAAACTGCAAAATGAATAACTCACACTCTAAAGAATGGATCTGCACTTTGATGTGTCATTGTGATCTTAATTTGAACCTTTGAATTATCCTGTCGCTGATGTAACCCGTAGCCGTCCAACAGGTATGAACGCGTCATACCTTAAAAAGCAAATGCTTTATTCCCATTTGCATAACTAGTAGCTGAAGATCTATTTTGAAACATCTTTTTAGTTTTTATATCAAAGTTATACAACAATTAACAATGCACCGCTCTCTTCATTCGAAATTGAGTAGCTCGAAAGGCGCATATGTCAGCTACAAAAACACGCTCCAAAATGCATTTGCACTACACAGGCCTGCTTAGTCCTGGCTCCATGGTAAAGCTATAGCAGTTATTAGAATATTCCACCTTTTTTTAAAGCAAACATTTTCAGAGGCCACATAAACGCTACCAATAAAGGATAGTTTTTACGAAAGTAATACCATGAGCCAAAATCATAAAGACCTTCCATTAAGCGATTTTCGAAAGGGAACATTTTGCCGTTAAACTTAGCTGATGGAGGGCTATTTCCACAAAGGTCACAGAGTACTCAAGTGATGACTTTCACACCTCCGGGAATATTTTTACCTCCCCAGACCATCTCACACGTTCAAAGTGATGGCTCGTCAAAAAAATGTTGCATGTTGCACTCTATTTCTTCTTTTACGAAGTCGTTGCTGCCGCTCACTCCATTAAATTAAGTATACTCGCTCATTTGGGAATTGCCCGTACAGATTAGTGTGTGTGGCGTATGGAGGGCCGAAAATCGATGTGGGACCTGACCATTTTCTAGGCGCTATCCTAGAAATTATTCGGGTTGTGGGGCGATTCCCATGCGCCCCTTTATAGACAGGGTTTCCTGTTCTCCACTAGAGTTCAGAACCTAGCATTGAGCCCCAGTTATTCCACTAAGCCCCAATTGTTCAAAGAGCTGCCACAACGATTGGCCAAAAGATGCACAAATCGAGGTGCTTTCCTTTAAATTCCGTGCTACATTATGCATAAGATGCCCAACGGGGTTACACTGGGTAAGGGACATCACCTCATTCCATACAACATGAAAGAAATTGCACAATAGACTCTCTCTCTCATAATCTCAGTACAGCAGAATCCATGATTAAACAAAGTGCAAGTCTCATAATGACTCCAAAGAGCGGCGACGTCAAGAAAAACTTTGGCTAATCTATACTGAATTTCGCAACAGAACAAATACAGGAGAAAATTAGTTTGAAAAATACAAAGTTGAGATTAACATTCAAGAAAAATCACCTTCGACACCACTCCCAGCAAATTCGGAGAGATTAATGTCGACAAATCCAAGTTTCAGAAACGATTTGCCTCCTTTCTGCTCCTAAAAAAAACTGTATGATTGAAGCAACTGAAATCATAATACTGTGATAACAAGTCCTAAGATAAGAGGGAACACTACAAAATGTAGGAACTAAGAAGTGTCAAAAGGTTATCAAACCAGAATGCTGAAAAAAAAAACGGATTTGACACGTCTACTTCCACCAAATGTTCAGAATTTGCAAAGAGTTTCAGCAAAATACTCTGGATCTCCTTCACTGAAGGTTCCCTTTCATAGAAGGATACCAGTCGATCACCATTATGTATGCAATCCTTATGAATTAACATTGAGTAATATAAAGTTTCACGTACTTTTCTGATAGAAATCCGACATAAACATCTTTCCAATATGCCGGAAGTTGGATCCGACGTTATTCGGCAACAGAAATTCGACCGATGTGACCACGAACAACTGTTACGAACTACCTGTAACACAATGACTGGTAAGTCAATAAAGGGCAAAGAAAAATCACAAAAGTAGTAATACTAGTAAGGGTAAAGCAACCTCAACACGCTCGGTGCAATCGTCAAACGTGCCTCCTTCCAAAAGCCGAATTTTCGCAAACAACACAGCATTAACCAATGGCACGTCGCTCAAATTGCACACCTGGAACGTATCGATTAGTTGCTGGTCAAAGATTTTACTGATTGGTGCTTGAATCCTATGGGTCAGATATTGTCAACCCAACCGGATTATTAGCTATGGCAACGCTTAGAACTATGAACTGCGACCTTTTCCGAATGCACCATTGATTCGACAATTAACCGGGGAACGCAGTAAAAGTATTAAGTAAAGATGAATGAAATCCGATGACCAAGTGCATTAGGCAAGAGAAAGAAAAAATATTGCAAAAGAATGTATGCACCTGCAAGTCGACACTAAACTTGACTTTTTTTCGTTTCAGAAAAGCCATCTTACGCCATAGCCAATCGATGAGGAGGTATCGACCTGAAAGGCAACGCGTCCACAAGACAACCGACATCGACTTATCAAACTGAACGTCATTTTTCCCCTCAAAAAGGAGGAAAAACGGACAGGAATGGATGTGAAAGAGTAAAGTAAGTGAAAGAGCAAAGCGGGGGATAAATGTGCACTATTCAGTGGAAATTCAATCGAATATTCATAACGGGCAAGCACCTGCAAGCACGAAGCAAATTTCGTCAAGAAACTCAGGGCAAAAGTTCCCTGTTAGGATCCGCCCAGTAGGGGGGTACGTGGTGAAGCATTGAAGCACCTCTCCCTTTCGATTCAACATTGCGAAATCCTTTCTATTTAAAATGCAATCCCTTTTTCATATGAACAGACTCCATTGGATATGAAAAGGCGATAAATCGACAAATAATGTCCCTATTGATTGCAACCAGACGCTGCACCAGCGCTTATAATATTTGTTACTAAAAGAAAAAGGGACCAAGCCGCATGAAAAATTCCGCCGCACCGCCGCCACAGCCGTGACATGGCGTGTGCGACGTGTTGGCGATGGAGCTACGGAATATGCGCCGGATTTAACGGCTTCCTAATCAAAAACTTGGAAAACGACGTTAAAAAGGGAACTTACGTTTCATTCGACTTCGAAGTATCAGTGCCGTAGTTGGTTTGTTCGTCGGAAGAAGCATTTCTGAAAAATATGGATATCGTATTCCATCCTTCAGGGATGTTGTTTTGCAGAAATATTTGAATGGTTATCGATTCGAGATGCACAAAATAATTTAATAATAAACAATACAGTAATACAATGGACTTTTGAATGGGAATTTATCTCTAATATCTTAAAAATATACAGAAAGAATCACATCATAAAGAATATAGAGATTAGTTAACCTAAAGTAAGTACAAGTAATAGCTACTGGGAAAGTAGTTTTCTTGATTTTTAAAGTCCACAGTTAGTAGAGCTACTACTGTTGTCAAGGAGAACAACGCACACAGAAAGCTAAAACTCTGATGAAATAGGGGTAGCATTTACAGAGCTGCGTCCTTACTGGTAGAGACCAGGTGAGTAATTGGTATATGTTGATGATAATGATTCCCGCTGATGTGAGCTTATCCGCATTGAGCTCCATCCAGCTAATTAGTTGGATAGCTGATGCTGTTGACAACAAGACCATCCTGGTGGAGAACAAGTTCGGGAGAATGCGGAATTTCAAGAGGTTACTATTTTGTGGAAGAAAAGCTTCTGGGAAACCTCTACATGAGTAAACTCGTCAGTAATTTGAAAATTTTATGAATTTTTCAAAAGATTCTCGGATTAGAGGTTGTTTTCAACCCATATGTAAGATTTTCATCCATTTTATGAGAAAAACGTACGTAAAGTGGATGTGGTATGGTGGCAAGTGGCGCACTATCTGACATGCATGGACACGGGTTCGAATCCCGGACCGATATCCGCCTAGGCCAACCAAGCCTTCCAACCCTCCAGGGTCGGCTAATTGGTACCAGACTCGTCTGGGAGGATAAAAGCACTGACTTGTACATCGACTGGCGACCGCAAGTCATTGTATATGTCAAATACGCATTCAAACAACACTACGATTCCGAATGGAAGTCGAATGCGGGGGCGCATCCCTAAGACGGGATTGATCAACGCCCGAAGGCTCATCCTCTTAGCCGTCACTATCCCCTTGCTGCAGCCCCTTTTCATTTGCAGGATAGCAGAGGTGTCACGGTGATACTTACTGACTAGGCCAGTCAGACTCGAGTAACGGAGCCACTCAAGATGAAGAGCTTTCACAGAAAAACCACTTGGTTTGACAATGACTCAGAGAGTCCGTACCATTCAGAGCAAGACCTGACAAGTACAGAACTTGGCCCATGATACCACTTGGAGTTGAGTGACTTAAAGGAAGACTGACTTTCCAACATCTAGCATCTAAGAGAACTTCTGGCTATAAATAGATTCGTGGTATAATGTAAATTGTTAGACAAGTAGAGCCCTTACCGTATAATAAGAAACCGTCCAACGAAAGGAAACCTGCTCTAACAAGCAGGATATGAACAGACATAGAAAAGATTTGGAACAGAACACTCTCAAACCAGATATATGGAAGAAGTAATGTGTATGAAAATAGAAAGAGTAAAGAGAGCAAAAAAGTTAAAAAAAAAAGTCGACTAAACCTGAGCCACATATGGTGAGGCCAGGAAGCGTCATGTCAAAACTAGGCTATAGCGTGTGGCAACCCTGCGTGGTCCAGGAGAGCCGACCCTACCAGCTCTATAATTTTAGGAACAGCAATGAGGCCATAATTCTTCTACGACAGGCCGCTTCTTTCTCCATCTCTTCTTCTACACATCGCTGTTTTTCGTACTCCTTTTATAAGAAGGGAAAGAAAAATGGAGTGAAAATCTGGGGAAGAGAAAGTAGAGAGATATCTCTCCGAATAAAAAAATTCTTACAGAATAGCAGAGCTGATGGTGTCAGGACTATAAAGCTCGCTTTACGGAGATCTATTTTGTATTGAAGGCCGTTTAGCGATGTGTGGAATTGTCGCGTCGCGGCGAGAGAGACGCCGCGCGCGAAGGAATGTAGCAGAATGCGGCAGCAAGTAAGAAATTCAGAAACAAATAAATAGCAATAGGATCATGCCATAAGTAATAATCGCATAGCGATTGAGCTGTGTGAAGAACGCTAGGACTGTTATCACGAGGCAAATGGTCCGCGACAGCAGCGTGCGGCGGATCGAAAACACAGAACCGTTCCTAGTGCCCGTCTCCCGCTTTAGCGCATCCTGACCCATGCGGTCATCCCAGGTTGGAAGGCAGCAGACTGGAGGGACAGCCCAAATCATAATCCGAATTGGAAGGACCATAGTGATTGTGGAACACTCTAAAGGACCACTAATCATGGAGGACCTATCGTACTTTGTAGGCTGGTTGACTTATTACTCAGGTTCTTGAAATTGATCCAAGAAAAGCCTGAAATTCATTTCAAAAACAGCCACCTGAATTGGGAGCATAACGCGATCAATAAAATTTGCCAATACGGCTGGTACAGTGCCTGTGAAGGGGCTTGAATAATGAGCAAGGAGAAGGGCATACTAGTTGATAAATTTTTTAAAATCATAACTGCCTAAAGTATAACTAGTAATTCAAGCCGACCGTAGAAAAGGATTTGTAAAAGTTCCGTTCTACATTACGATAAAATGTCGACAAGAAGGCGTTTTATCGTGAATCACGAAGTGCTCTATTGTTTGAGGGTGACGTCATGGATGTTATGGAATGCCAGTATCCTGTCCGCCATGATTCTTCCTGATGAACTATCTCTGTGCAACGATTACGATACAAATCAGTCGTAAACAGTTGCTGTAAACAAACGTTAAAACAAGTAGTTTTACACTAGGTTGGTAACAAGTAACTCTGTATTTTTATGCGAGCTTCAAATATTACATTGGTAACTGAGTAACCCACATTTTCGTGAGGACGTCCAGTACTTATTCTAAAGGGTAACCTCTGTTTTTTAGAGTAATTTATATTTTCAGAAAAGGTAACTGTCGTTTTATGGTTAATAGATGACTGAATAAATAATTTTTTGTAAAAAAAAGAACTATATTTTCCAAAAATACAAGAAATAACCAGGTTGTCAACCTAATAAATGGGAAAAGACCGAAAGAGTAAACTGCATAGGTGAAGGATGTCGTTACAGCGTATTTCAAGAACATACCACTTGAGAAGTAGACTGACAATTAGGGCGAGACAATGACAATGAGGACGAGTTCAACCACCAACGAACGTGTTTACGTATAAATGACGAAAAACCCCAGGTGAATGTAGAAATCGTTCGCCAGTGTCAATAGACTTGACGCATTTTGGAGTGGGGCAGCGCCGAGCCGGCCTGGAATGCCTCTCGGCCTTGCAAATCATGATGACACACACAAACACACATATACACACTCACACAACAAAACAAATATGCTCCAGGAAATAAGTCATGATCAATAAATCGATATTGTGTTGTGATTTGATAAGAGCAACTGGGAGATTTAGAAAGCTGATGACGTCATTGTCATATATTTCTCTTTATTTGTTTTTATAACATAGTACAATACAGTATAACATGGTATAACGTGAGAACCACCCCTACTAATAAAACAGAATAAAAAAGATTTAGAACTATCGGAAAGTCTTGCACAGAAATGAGATTCGAACTTTTTTCCTCAGAAGTCGAACTCACCATCAGGCAGCCTCCAGCTCATACTAGCAGAAGTATAGTATCAGTAGTAACTCATCAAATATCAAACAAAAACAAAAACATCAAATCAAAACAAGTAGTAACTATACTAAGTTAACAAGGTAGGTACAAATAAAGACCAGTCGAATTTTAAAGTTCCGTGAACGTGTGTTACAGAAATTCCCCTAGTGCTGACGCGTACTCGGGTTACGGTATAATACAATACGGGACCTTAAAAATTGTCTTGTTAAATAAAGGCCCACACACCGTGTTCCACACAGTTGACTGTCTGTAAGCCTTATCGAGCCTATTACTTACTATTTACAGCAGGAGGTCAGCATAAACCTAAGATCCATCAAGATAAAGCCTAAGATGTGGTAAAGTGTGTGGACAGGAACATAGCAGGAAAGCTGAACGGTGGATCGATTCCGTTGCCTGTCCGTTTAAGAATTCTTCGCCACAACAAGAAATGGATGTTTGAAAATGGCGCCCGAACTGTCAGAATAATTCAAACGAATTCGCGGACGCCTAGAAGCAGCAGGGATGCTGAAGTGGATCGGTTTTATGGGTGAGAGCCTCATACTGGTTTTGTGCTGATTTTTGCATTTCAATTGATGATGTCATCTAACGGACAGTGACCAAGCCAACCAGATGTGAATATCCAGTTGAGAGGTGATTCACGCGATTCTCAATTTTACAACGATTACACGTTTCTTGATGATGGAGCGATAGCACAACGAAGAAGTACTCCTGAGGTGGAGGGATTACTCTTGACTTCCTCCAGTATGTACTAGAGAAAAACAGTAAAGAAGGTCGGATAGTTGCGGTTGCCTGAGAAGGTGGTATTAGGCACCGACCGGGAAATATGGAATCGAACAGATTTCAACCTTAAGTATGGCTATCGAGAAGATCATGCTGAGTCCAATTAATCGGAAAAGGATAAGGAATGGATATGAAGTGGATGGTGTGCTTGAAGGATACATCTTCGGTGAAGTGGAATCACCAGATAAACTGGCTAGTAAGATCCGCGCTCAATTTACACCGGCACTGAAGTTCTCACACAACCACTTCTACTTCTTCTGCTCTTATCTGCATCTCCTACCGAAATAGAATCTATGACTGCGGTGGTTTCAAACAAGCAGCTCAGTCCCCCTCTCCTTCTTCTGGCTTCTTAGAAACAGCACGGATTCCTCGTTTAGATCCGTTCGACAGCGAATAAGCCGCTACCTACCCTCAATCGAGGACTCTAGAGTTGACCCTTCTGAAGGGTTCAAACGGAAAGCTTCTTGAATTGTTAATTAAGCACAAAAACTCCATTTATTCGTTTATATATTATTGATTATTGAGCGAAGGTGGTGTAGCTGCAAGTGGCGCGCCATAAACACGTATGGGCCAGAGATTGAATCCTCGATCGACATTTGCCTAAACCAACCAGCAATTCCACCCCTTCGCGGTCGTTTCATTAGCACCGAACTCGTCTGAGAGTAAAAGCCCTGATTTGTGCAGCAGGTCCCCTCTGCAAGTCACCGAATAATCCACACCCCTTTTAAAACACCATTACCATTCTGATTGGAAGTCGATTGCGGGGCGCATACAAAAACGTACCCGCATTAAAAACGAATAGATTGAAGCCAGGAACTTCATTTTGATATTTAATATTGTTTATTTACTTAATAAAAATTTGTCAAAGGTGACGGCAATATTCGCATTTTTTAAACTAAATTACGAATATCTCAAAAGGGTTATGGCATTATCGGCACAAAAGGCTTTTCAACAAACGAAAAAAACTTAAGAAAGAAAAAAGTTTTAAAGAATCGTGAAATTAAGTAGCAAGTAGAACTGCCACACCTTAATTTATAACAAAAACAACACATTCTTTAAAAAAATAGATCCGCTGGAAACGCGCAAAAACAAAACAAAATGAAAGAAATCCTTCACGGTGGATTTATTTTTATAGCATTCCTGCTATGAAAATGAATTCAAACATATAAAACACGAATCTGTCCCTGGCGCAGTAGGAGGGATGCGAAGGATGAGGCTATTATGTGAACGTATAGGAGGATGCTTGCAAAATGGGTTTCCCACGCTGACGCTCAACCGGCATTTCAAGTGAGAAACCGCAGTCTCTGAGGTCTTGGTAGACAGAAAAACGTGCTCGCTGTATTTTAGTACTCTCCTACTCTTTGTAATGACCGCACATTTACTACGTTGTAATCCAACTACACAGATGTTGTCAAAAATCTTCACGAGAAGAAATAAATTAATGAAAGTGAGAAAAAAAGAAATTGTAAAGGAAAAAGAATGTGCTGAAAAAAGAGAAAAAGCCGTGCGTAGCGTTGTACTACCTGAACCATGTTGTAATAAACGTAACGTATGCAGAAGGGATTACTTGTGAATTAATGGTTGAACTACTAGTAAGATCTTAGAGTAAGGTGCAATGGTCTTAATAGTACGCAGTAAAGTAACCCTTGGGAACCTCCTCAAACGTCCTCGCTACCAATGGGATTCAAAAAGCAGTACTCTTTGAGCGGTCTTGATAGATTTCTTACCTACTTGTTTGTGCGGTCAGTACCGACCACAGCACTTTATTTCATGGAGAAAAACTGTGTTTACTCGTATTTACAATAGTAAAAACACGACAAAAATGCTACCCTTCAGAGAGCCCTACGGCTTTTCGGTATTTTTCCACAATATCCCCCGATTCCGAAATCTAAACCTGTGGTTTCAGTTCCATTTAATTCCATTTAACAAACACCTTCATCTCGAATTACACTATGTAAACGATTTGAAAAAAAAAACGGGAAAACGTGAAATAAATCAATAAAATTAATCGAAAAGCCTATTTCTCTACTCCGTAGAATTCACAGAATTTTGAATTGAATAGGAGGAACACAATGTGATAAACGAGGCCTGTTTAACACAGCGGGTGGTAGCTTCTCAGAGTTGACAATGCAGAGGAATAGCCTTCGAACACTTTTTCGTACTCTACTATTCAAAATAGACTGAAGGGTTCCGGTAAACCAGTCAGGTACGGTACATATACTGTATACATTTTTTTTAGAAGTTACTGC